GGGCTGGCCCCCCACCGTCTGGTCCCCTTCTGTCCACCCCCATTTCCTCTGCGCGCTTTCACCCTGCGTCTGCTCCCTGGCGGCCCCCCAGCCCTCCTGGAAGCTGGCACTGTGGGCATGTGGGGTGCCCGGGTGGGGGCCTGGGCGCGGAGTTTGTCATGTGCAAGCAATTTCAAAGGCTGCGATTTCTTCCCTGTCTGGGAGTTCAGGGCTCAGCGCCTCCACTTTAGGATGGACTCAAATACAAAGCAGCCCACCTGCCAGGCAACGAGGAGGGTGCCGCTGCTTCCTTGATTTCAGGCAGCCCTGGCCAGTGCCCCGGTGGGTTTTGGAGCGCTTCCGCCAGGCGGCCAGGTGCAGGGGTTACCTACAGGCCACCAGTCCGTTCTTTACACCACCTTTTCTAGAAAAGTGTATTTGGTGCATTTTGCCTGAAAGTGAGTGATCAACAGGTATTGATAGACCTTTTATGACACTCTCCCAAGGTGTTGTGTAGAGGTTCCGGGCCTCAAGGAACTTGAAACACCAGGAGCACATAGCAGTGAAGTTCAGTGCTACAGGTACACAGGGGCTGCGGTGTTCTCAGCACCATGCCAGACTCTCTGGGAGATAAGAGGCACCCAAGAAATCGAAGACCTCAGAAAGCCAGCTGAACAGGTGGAAATGATTTGAGAGCTCAAGTTCAAATGAATGTTCTCTGACTGCCAGAATGACTGCAAATGCTACAAAGACAGGGGGACTATCAAAGGCAAGGTTAGAGTTGAGGGAATGGACTTAGAGTACCAAGTTATGAAATATGCTGTGCACGCGGAGAATACCTCTGGCACGGGCCCAGAGGCAAGGGAGGAGGAAGTAACAGGTGTGAGAGGTCACAAAGGGACTACGGGAGGAGAAAGAGGTTCAGGCAGTTATCTCAGTGCGAGAGGACACAAAAGATATGTGAGATGATTCCCTCCAGGGTTTATAATCTCGGGCGTGGTGGGGGGACAGAAAGACTCCAGCCTGGGAACTAAGACCTCAAGATACAGCACAGTTTACCTGTCAAACTGTGAGGTGTGGAATAGATGCTGCTGGAGTTCAGAGAAGGGCGCTGTGGGTGGGAATCATGACTGTATTCCTGGAGCGTGAGATGTGAGACCCTTGAGATGAGCCCTGAGGTGCAAATGAACATAACTTTGCAGAGGGACAAGGAGATGGCTTTGGCCAGACTAGGGGGTATTTCCTGAACAGTAGGAGCTAAAGATGGGGAGAAGCAGTGGTTGAGATTATGAACACCCTAGAAAGCCAGTCTGGGAAATTATACTTTACCCTGTGGGTCCTGGGGAGACAGTAAAGTCTCTGAGCTGGAGACTGATGTAGTGAAATGGTGTTTGGATTGGTTTTAAAAAGTCATGTTAGAAGACAAACCAGTTAGTAGGCTGTTACAGTTGTGGAGTGCCCAGGGGTTGGACCGGGATAACTGGACATGGAAAAGAGGGTGGGTTTTAGAAGCATTGCTGTTGAAATAATCTGTTGACAGGGGCAGGGTGAAGGAAGGAGATGAAGGGAAATTAATTCTTTGTGGAAATTGATTACACGCCAGGGCCTCGGAGCTGCTGTAGTTGGTAACTCGAGAAATCGGAAATGTGTGTTTTGGAGAGAAGTAATTGACACTCAGGCTGCAGAGAAGTTTCTTGTGTTTGCCAAGACATCCAAACATAGGTGTCTTGCAGGCAGCTGCGGCTCTGAGATTGGTGGGAAACTGGGGTGTGTAGGGTAGGGAAGGCTGCCAAAGCTGGGGGGAGGGAAGGCTCTGGGAGGAGTGTCTTCTTGGTCATAGGGAGGCAGTAGAGGCTGCTAGTGAAGGGGACAGAGGTCGGAGTTAGAAGGCTTTATTCTGTCTTGCCATTCAGGTGACACCCCTGGTCCTTAACCTGAAATTGGCACAGTGCCTCTGGGGAACTGAGGCTCCAAGGAGGGGGGACCACTTACTCTTCTAACCAGGAAGGTGGCATTGAGATTGAAGGGAAGTCGAATGAGATTCGCTAAACACAGAAATTGTTGGGCTTTGAAACAAGCTGCATTTTGCTCTCCACTGAGACCCTCAGTCTAGTCCTGGTGTCCTTCGCAGGGTGTGTGTGGGGGAAGCAACAAGATGAGGGGCCAGCAGGATGATGTAAAAGAGCGAGGAGGAAATTTGGGGCCTTGGGGGAGTGCCTTTCCCGGGACCAGGTCCCTCCTGACCGGAGCTTCTGCCAGGTTCACAGGAAGCCAGCGACTCGCTAGCAGAGGGAAAACTGGTGCTTCTCCTGAGCTCAGAATTCTGCTTTCTTGTTGCAGGGGTGGCTTAGTGTGATTTGCTGAGCAAATTCCCCAAGCCTCATAACTTGCAACATCTGAGGGCTGGTGAATTTGAAGGATGATTGCAAAAAGTTGCAGAATAAGTGAGAATGTAATTGCACTTACTTAGCTTTCCTGTGTCTCTGAGATGCAGGATCAGTGAACAACAGGGGCAGCCAACTCATAGGGGGAAGAAGTGTCCATCAGATATTTTTTCTTTTTAGGGATTACATGACTGTCAAAAAAAAAAAAGTTCCACGGCGCACTGATTGAGCTGATCTGCTGGTAATAGAGCAGTGTTTTCTACACTGTTTCGACTGTGACCTACATTAAGAAATAAAATTTACATCATGACCTAGTACACTCAATCATGTATGTATGTAAAAAATCTAATTTAAGTTCATGAAATACTACCTCCTCTTGCTTGGTGCAGTCTCTGCTGATAATTTTATTTTCTTTTCTGTTAGTCTTCATTTGAAAATGCCTGTTGTCTCCCACTAAGTTGACTTAATTGGTCTGTAATGGATGGTAGCCCACAGTTTGGAAAACAGTGCTAGAGCACCTTCACATCGAGGAAGTATTTAGGAAGCTGCTTGTGTGCACAGCTGCCCTGATTGGTGCTGTAAGTGAAAGGAGGCCTGAGCACGGGCTTGGCAGTTTCCAGGCTCCATGGAGAGAGAGGCTCTACCTGTGCAGAAGGAGCCCGGCAAGGTGGTGAAATGCCAGAGAGAGAAATCGGCACCCATAGGGTTCTGAGGAAGGGGCTGTGCTGCTGTAGCTTGGAAGCACTTTCTGGGAGAGAGAAGGAAGTCCGGGATGAACCCTTAGGGGTGTCTCATGGGGCCACACAGGTGGGGGTTGTTGCACAGGCCAAGACTTAGAGTTAGAGGTGTACACATGGTGTGTGAGAATCCAGAACAGAGTCCTTGTTAGAGAGGAGGGAGAAATCAGGCTGGAAAGGTAGGTTGGGATCAAAGGGTAGTGGAGGAGTTATAAACGGGAGGCCCAAAGAATGTGTTCAGCCTTCGGACTGTTGTAATTTGGACCACACCAAGGTTTTCAAAGATTGGGAATGATCCAGCAAGCCTCTGGATTTGGGACTCTCAGAAAGACTCAGGTCAGGCAGGCCTGTGCAGCTGAGTGG